CCCCGAAATTCCCTACTTTTCGCGCGTCTTCTCTCGAAGCATCGCACATTCACGACGATCAGCGCGTCGACATATCTTTTTCTAGATCCATTTTAATCACGGTGAAATTGACCTGATCGAGCACGTGTAACGAACTGCACAACTGGTTTTTGGATCAAGAACTTTTTAAACGAACGACAAGAAGGAAATTCGCCAATTCGAGACATTTTATATCGAGTATCGATCGCGTATGATCATGCGTATCGCGACGATAGATCGCGGACTTGTGTTCTCTTTTTCTGATTTCGGAGCAGACAACAGATGATGAAAGAGATGCGCGAGAACGAAGAAGGAAATTGAAACAGCGGACATCTCGAGGGACAGGAGGTTTAGCCGTTTCGTGTAAAAGAGAGAGTTTATAAGGATATATATATATATAAATATGTATATATATGCACATATATATATACATATATATATAAAATAAATATATAAATATATACGTCGCATTAAATTTAGATTATCGCAGGGAAACGGAGACAGAAGGATAGTCAAAGACGTAGTGTTAAAATTACGGAGCTCGATACGAGAAGATTGAGAGAAGCGCACGCATTAATCGTTGCTAACGCGAACGCTAATAACGGATAACGTAGCTTTTAAGGACTACCGATGCTCCGCCGTTAATCCCTTCGTTTCCGGATAAACGAACTTCCCCCGCGGACACTTGGCGATCATTGACGCGAGCTCTATCTGGACGCTCAACGACAACGAATTTGTTGAATCTGCACATCGACGTATCGTATTGAATTTAATTAGACATATCGGCCGAGTCCAACGCGCGACATCATCAAATTGTTCGCCAACTGATCGGTCTTGATCCCGAATATTCGTCCACGTTACTCGCGAGACGCATATCAATCGATTTTTAAGCGATTTTTCGACACAACAAGAGGGATTTATCGGATTTATATGTCGCATTTTTTAATTGGCACGTCAACGTCGCTCGACAAGAGTATCGCTCGACAAAGAAAAGGGGCGCGACAATGCCGCTGGTCTCGAAGGGTTTAAACGATTCATCCGGCATGCGATCGAGAGCGGATCGATTTTCAGCATCCACTTCTACCTCGCGCGAGGACAGCACGATTTTCCTGCGCCGCATCGACGCGCAAAGCTCGTCCTCGAATGAAATTTCTAATTTTCCACGCGGCATCGCGGAACAGATTGTAGCAAAGTGTATTAACCACTCAGCATAAATGAGACATAGTACATTAAGCGAAATAAACTTAGCGCTGGAGCTTGAAAATACACACACACACATATATATACATATATATATATATATATAAATATAAAGATATTATACCGGTAAAAAAAATGACACGTGCGCACCGAATATGCATCTTGTTATTTATAATAAACGGATACGAGAAAAATAATGTGATTGTGATTAACACCTCTCTTCTTTTGACTCCGCTTAATCCAACATGTTACCAAGAAGAAACGATAATACGCTATTTTTAAGACACGCGAAACAATCCTATTCTAATGAAAATTAATTGAAATTGGCACTTTTAATTATTTCGTCCAGCAAAATTAAAATTTTGAAATCGACATGACTTTAACTGTAATGTCGAATTAAAAATTTTAAAATAAATTCGAAGAAACGGTTCAACAATATTGTAATATATTTTGTTCGACACAATCGAAATGTAATATTCTTCTACAACTCATAATGGCTTGTTTGACACGCCTTCGCCATCTCCTACCATCCATCACGACCCATCCGTCACGAAACTCGCACATTTGGTCTTTCTAAACGCGCGAAAAAACGCGCTGCAAGGCGAAACGAGCTCCCGGATCCCGCCCGAGAGAAGCCAGTCGCTTTCAGAATAACGATTTGAAAAGGGAGGAAAAGGAATAAACGGAGTACGCGCGATGAAGACATCTGCATTTTTATGAAGACCATTATTAACCGTCGGGCCGCGCGAGCGCTTCGTTAAGAATCAGGGGACCGGCTTAATTAAAACGTCTTCGTCGTCGCGATGAAGCCGCTAGGACCTCGGAATAGCGTGACGTTTCGATTCACTCGTCGACAATCCAGAGCTGCCATTTTTATCGGGAACAGTGCGGAATAGTCGCGACTACTACAAGAGCAACATTGTTTCAGTCAGATGATGCGCGACTCGAGACAAAGCCGGTTCGTCGGCTATTATCTAACGAGAATGCCGGAAGACGATAATATTACGCACGTGCAAAACGTTCTCTGTCCAGCTGCTCGATTATTTTAGCACGGAATACGAAAAGTCCGATAGATTTATTGCAAGCACATGCGACTTGGATTTCAATTGTGCTGCGATAATGCTACGCGCCCATAAATCTCCGCCGTTTGCTTTGACGGATCATAATAGATCATGGCGAAGCGTTTCCTATTGAGAACACTCTGCGGAATTATGATGCTCCACGAATAGCTCTCGACATAGCGATCTCTTTCTCGAGAAAGAACGCCGACAGGTTGGTAAAATTATAAACGATAATATCGCCATGGAGAGAAATTTCGCGATGTCGTTGGCAAATAACGTCACGAGAGTTGTGTCATCGTTATCGTCCTTTTGCGAAATTGCAAGTTGTTCTTACTATGAAGGATACACGAGATACATATAACTAGACCTCGATCGGGCTATAAACGAGAAAATATTGTGACGAGGAACTTTCGCAGATCGAGAGGATTTGTCGCGCGACATTTATACCGTTCATTCCTCATTCGCTCTGTAGCCGTCGGTTTCACGGTTTTCTTCACAGGTACGCGATCGCACGTACGTATATCACACGTGCGCACCGTACATGCGTGCATTGGCGACAAGAAACCAGTCTTCTCAACGATTTTTGCAACGACGAAACGACTAACGTCTTCGCGGAATCGATAGGACCGTGCACGCACATCCGCTCATCTCCAGTAGAAAGAAACTGGTCGTATATTCCTTTTGACTCTTTTCATTCGCGGCTATTAATTGCCAATTCCCAAAAACTTTTATACATCTTTCTTATCTTGCTCAACTTACCTCCAACTTTTTTTTACCTCCAAGTTCCTTTTCTAGAAACTCTTAAGTAGTGTCAGACTATCAAATTAGCAAGAACGAATAAATTATGATAGTGTAAACATTAATCAAATAGTAAAATAACTGCAACCAGATATAAAAAATTTGTAAAACGTTTAAACGTCTCTAATTATGATGTTTTAAATATATATATAATATATAGGTATTATTTGAAGCAGAGACCAGGGCTGGTTGGCTACTAGGATTAGTTGGCAAAATCGATTATTTCTATTGTTCTTTAATATATTTCAGAATCAAACAAGTAGAGATTTCAAAGCCATCCTTGACATGTTTAAAAATTTTGTTTGCTTAATTCTGTAACTTATTAGGATTAGCAGAAATAATCGATTTTGCTAACTTACTCTGGTAGCTAATTAGTTCCGGTCTCCTCATCTTTCGAGAATTTGACTGATTTAAGTCTACAAGTTTAAGGTTCCTAGCATTGTCCATCTCTTTTTTAATGACGTCAGAAGCGAGAAAATGTATGCTAAAAATTCTCGAATCGATTAAACAAATTTATAAGATAAAAATCGATTAAACAAATTTATTATAAGATATTCCGTGCACTCCCCTTTTACTCTAACAATCAAATTACAATAATTTATGGTAAATTAATCTAAATAGGTTAAATAGGCGAAGAAATAGGTTAAGAAGATGAAGTGTATATCACATTAATTTACGACAAATTATTGATTATTGGAGCATAAAGAGGAATGCACGGAATATTTCACAGATTTATTTAATCGATTGCAAGTGTCACCTTATAGATATATCTTTTTAATTTATTTCAATGTATTTCGCAAAAATTTTTAGTATGCATTTTCTTGCTTCTGACCTCAAAAGAGATAGACAGAATGCGAGGAGTTACGAGCCTTAAAAAATTACTCAACAAGTTTATTATATCAATATATGTGTGTGTGTGTGTATCAAGTTTCTTTTTAGAAGCTTTTAAATAATGCCAAATGATCAAATTAATGAAAGTGAATAAATCCAAAGTGACCAGACGTCCCGATTTTTTCGGGAGAGTCCCAATTTTTCACCCTTTGTCCCGAATTTTTTCGAGTGCTATTTGGGACACCAATTTGTCATCATTTTCAATGATAATCAAATAATTTTCGTATCTTTTTACCCCTCTCCCTCCGCTTCACACATTTATGAAGTGTCAGGGCGAATTCAGGACTAGGAAATCTGGTCATCTTACATATACCGCGAGGAGAAACGACAAGATTACTTACAAATAACGTCTTCACGATACGACTTATTAACGCGCGAGACTCACTTTCGACGGATAAAAGACGCGAGAAACGCGGAGCGATGTGGATCGATGTGTACCCATGGCTGCGGCTTGGCGCGAAAAGATCGAGCATTTCGCGCGATTCATTACCAACGTCTAGATTGAATAACCACGATGACAACCTCGTAGTGCGAAACGAACGCGATTGGTCTAGAGTGGTTAGTAAGAGGCTGAGCACAATAAAAGGAATAAAAAATAGGGAATCAAGAATAGAGAACAGGAAACAAAGAATAAGGAAGAGTTCAATATTAAAACATGAAACCTAATTCATCAACGCAGAATAGAGGAACAAAGGAATAGCGTTAATTTTTGTTTTCAATATTCCTTATTCCTTACTCAGTATTCCTTATTCCTTATTATCTGTGCTCTGTTCCTTATTCCTTTTATTGTGCTCAGTCCCCATAGACTAATATACATAGACTCCGCATACAGCCAGAAAAGTAAAGCCAAAATATACAGCCCCTCTGTTCTCTGTCTCTTTCTACACACACAAAGTGCGCAATAAGATTTAAGTAAGACTTTTGCTTGCCAGTCCAATTGGGGTGCTGTTGCCCTCTATAATATTATGAAAACGAGAAATGGATGTACACGCAACAAAAAAAATAACAAAATAGGGAGAAAATGATTAGCCCCTCTATAATTTCGCTCTCTTTCTAGATTGACTTCACTCAGTAGACGATAGAACAAAGGGCGTTCGGAGTCCATGTATACTATGTTCATGTCAGTCCCTTACTCGAGCAAGTGATTAAGGTGTCCGCCCTACAGATCGCGTCGTTGTAGACGCGCGACCTAGTTCGCACCACTGGTGCGTTCACATTCATGCATTTTTGGCACTTTCGGCGCGCTAATGAACTTTTGGTATACGTGATTGACAGCGCGCGCGTCTGCAATCTTTCCATGCCGAGCAACTGCCATAGACAAAACGCTCCGTATTCCATACGTCTTTCGCTTATGTCCTGTGAGTCTTCTGCGGAAATAAGAGTAATAATAATAAGTATTAGAGTGCCGAAAACAACGACGTGCGGTCGTCAGAATATATCGTAAGTACATTATTACGGAGCAATCTCCTCCCTTCTCGACACACACAGTTAAGGTGACCAGACATCCCGATTTTTCACCCTTTGTCCCGAATTGTTTTAAGTGCTATTCGGGACACCGATTTGTCATCATTTTCAATGATTGTCATTAATTTTCGGATCTTTTTACCCCTCTCTCCCCACTCCACACAATTATGAAGTGTCCCGAATTCAGGGCTGGGAAATCTGATCACCTTAGTAAATCGCACTTGTAATAGTGTAAACATTAATCAGATAACAATAATTGCAACACTAATACATTTGTAAAGAGTTTGAATGTCTCTAATTATGATGTTATAAGTATATATAATATTGTTATTTGAAGCACTTTCGAGAACTCGACTGATTTAAATCTACAAGTTAGTACGTTATTTAATGAGTTTATGACATCAATGTGTATGTGTGTCAAATTTCTTTTTAGAAACTCTTAAATAATACCAGATGATCAAATTAATAAGAACAAGTAAATCACAGATGTAATCGTATAAATATTAATCAGATAATAATAATTGCAACTTGACACTAATATAATAAACTTATCAAACATCTCTAATTATAATGTTATAAATATACATAACATATAAATATTATTTGAAGTATTTTTGAGGACTGTCAACTGATTTAATAAGTCTACAAGTTAATATGTTATTCAATGATGTTATTACATCAATGTATATGTGTGTAATATGTATCAAGTATCTTTTTAGAAACAATACCAAATAATCAAATTAGCAAGTAAACTATTTGTAATCATGTAAATATTAATCAGATAATAATAATAATTGCAATCTGGTATAATAAACTTTGTAAAAAGTTTAAACACCTCTAATTTTGGTGTTATAAATATACATAATCTATAGATATCATAAAATACTCCACTGATTTAATAAGTCTACAAATTAATAACGTATTCAATAAGTTTATTATATCAATATATATGTATCTATCAAGTTTCTTTTTAGAAACTCTTAAATAATGCCAGATAATCAAATTAATGAGAGCAAGTAAATCATACTTGTAATCATGTAAATTTTAATCAGATAATAATTGCGAACTGATGCTAATATAATAAACTTGTAAAAAGTTTAAACATCTCTAATTATGTGTTATAAATATATATAATATGTAGGTATTTTTTAAGTACTTTCAAGAACTCTACTGATGTAACAAGTCTATAAGTTTATCTTGCTAAGTAATACTTTAATTATTAATTATAGTTTATATATTATACAAGTTAATAATTATTTAATTATTACTACGATTATATTTACATGATTACAAGTATGATTTACTTAAGAGTTATGACAACAGTTAGTACAAGTATGATTATTTAAGAGTTTCTAAAAAGTTTCTAAAACTTGATACGTACACATTGATATAACGCATTGATAAACTTATTGAATAACTTATTAATTTGCAGACTTATTAAATTATTCGTTTATTATATCACAATGTGTATCGTTGCAAGCACGACGTAAAAATATCGCGAATGCCGCATTGTCGATGCGGCCGGTTGTAAAAATTAAACGAAAGACTTACAACGTTGTAATATACTGCTTTTCGTGTGCACTCCGTGACAAAGGTAACGCAGTAGAGACGGGTAGTCCTACTCGCTCAGCTCGTAGCTCGAACAGTTGAGGCACAATAAACAGACCTGCTAGACGTCACGATAAACGTAAAAAGCTATAACATAACCTACTACAAAAAAGATAAACAGGCAAAGCTACTCACCGGCCGTCTTGGCGTCCCTCGGCAATCTTCGGCGAGCCTCGGGAGTCTTCGGGCGTGCGCGCCAGCTGGCGGCGCGCGATCCTCCTTTGATCGAGCGCGCGTATTCTTGAAGCGACCGGCGTAGGAGTGAGTTCGTGTGCGCGGTAGACGTCGGCCGAGGGAGGCCGCTCGAGCACCTTCGCGTGAGCATCTGTGCAGATTTCACGTCGCGCGTTACATTCTCCGCGTCCGCGCGCGTTTCGTCGGTCGGTGACGCGAGTGTCCTCTCTTTCGGTGTTCAGCTGTCAACGTCGAAATTGTCGTCGTCGTCGTCGTCGCGCGCGCGCGGTAGGTTATGCCACCTTGAAAACAAACCTCACACTCGTGTGCTCCGTGAGTCGCACCGAACTCGCACCGGACGAAGATCCCAATCGACGAGGGGATCTCGGTCGACACGACAAACGGGGGAGCAGTGTGGATTCACGAGGACTCGAGGATCTCACCAGTCGTGACACGGATTCGAGAGTCTCGAGCGTTCCGCGAACGGACAAGGAATTTGGGGAACGTACGAACGCACAACGATCTCAGGCGTGAAGTTGTCGTCGCGTCCTTTCCCTCGCTCAATGTGAAACTGGCGCGCATCGTCCGAAAGACGCCAAGTTCGAAAAGGTGGCATTGCGCGCGTCGGGCGTACGTAACGAGTGCGGTAGTGGTGCAGTGGATATGCGTTCCTGGTTGTTGTGAGGGTGCCCGGAGTCTCCTCGATCTACGTTGGATCCCGAGGACGCATCATGAGGTTGGCCAGGATCGCTGGGATTTACGTGCTCTTCATGGTTGTGTGCGCCGATCGAGCGGACGTCATCGAAGAACGAGGTATGTGTCTTGTTCGTTCCTTCTCACTCGCACTTGAGAATTTCGTGACTGACGAAGTATTGCTATACAATGATTGTATCGCTCTCAGGTAGCAAGTTCACAAGACAAGTGGTACGTCGAATCTTTATTGTTGGTTCGATGAAATAGCGTTGTTTCGAGTTAACCAACAGGTGTCTCGAGATTAGGTTAGGTTAGATCTCCCGACTGAATATGTGTGCAGGACGGCTGTTTACGAAAGTCAATACGTACACGATTCATGTATCATTAATACTGATCACTGAGAGGAGAAGAAAGGGGAGGAGGAGGCATTCTTTCGAATTAATTAAGATAATTCGCATATGTGTGAAAATGTGATCTGCCGTCTTGTTTATCTCGTCGTCGTGCAAGTTTGAAGCGAATCCTTGCAAGAGAGCGGCGCTTCGTGAGTCACGAATTTGTCAGTAACATAGTCGCTATCGTCATCTGTTAAATCATGTAGATTTTAACGATTCCCGAATTCAGTAGATTCATTTATCTCTACCTTTATTCTACTGTTCCACTCAGCTGCGCGAATACTTCAGTTACGCAAACTTCGACGCTTTTATGAATCGCGCTTTCTCGACTCACTCTCGATTCAATGCTCGTTGAATGCGATTCCCGCTCCCAAGCTCGCGATTTTTGCAATACGACGTATACTGCAATCGCGTATGGCAAAGAAACGCGCGTGTCTAAGAAATATCCAAGTAAAATAGAAAATTCTCTAGCAGTCTGCGACTTTATAGTTGACACCGTGTAATCGCATTCTATTCACTTTTGCATTAATATATTTCCAAGTACAATTTTGAAAATGTTTTCAAGTTTATCGCGAAGAAACTATTAACTATACTAAATTCTGGAAATATTAATTACCACTTTGTATTGAGAGAAAAATGTTTCAAAATTTATTGCTAAGATATAAAGTATATTCGCAGAGAAATTGATTTTATTTCTTACAAAAATAAACTTTATATTCCACGAATAAATTTTCAAGTATTTTTTCTCAGTGTATTTATTAACATCGCGGTGTCCCTTAATCCTGACCTATACAAGAGAGTAATTTTTTTATCGCATTCACGTGTACCCTACGCCGTTAGTGACATGCAATAAGTCTCACCTGTACGTTTCACCTGACGCGGTTATCGCTAGATAAGAAATCATATCGCTACGATAAGAGTGAAACCGCGATTTACACCCTTACGATAAGCAAATCTGAAGGAACCGTCGACGTGGCTTAGATAAATTCCCCTCTTTTTTTGTTGTTGCGAACGAGAGATAAAGGGTTGTGATAATAATAACGGGGACGTTGACTGGGTGAGTGTTTTATTTTTGTGCTGAAAGAAACGCCACTTTTATTTCTGCCCGATAATGCACGTGCAGAAAAGGGCGAACGCGAGAGGTGAACGAGAAAGGACGACGAACAGAGCAGGAGGAGCTTGATTTTCGTGCCGAAAACGCGACACGCGGCGTCTCTCGCGTTTGATCTCTTTCCCTCTTCCTCCTTCTTTCTTTCTCCCACGTATGCGCGGACACCACGAGTTAAATATATCTTGTTAAACGGTTAATTAGACTTTAATCGGTTCGGCTCGTCCAGAGCGCCCGACGGGAACGAGGCCAATGGTACGACGCCGTCCCGTTGGAACTTTCGTTAAAGCGGCAATATCGTCGCGAAAGAGAAGCACGAAGATAAGACATTGCTGCCGCTATCCTCAGAATTTACTTTTAGTTGGAAGCATGATTCCGACAATGACTCAAGTAACTTTAATATCAAAAATGCCACGTTGTGTTAAGAGTCGATTTCTGAGATCCTCCGTTTGATTGATACGCGAAAGCGTTTCAATAAAACGATCAATGATCTGATATTTCTCGTTTAATATCGCGTGTGGGTAGACACCGTTGCGTGAAACTGCGTAAGTCAGGTAGAGAGAGAATTATCGGGAAATGAATATTTATCACGCGTCGTATCTTAGTTTCTTCGGTACACTTTGGTATGCACGAATGAGCACATGGAAAATCACATTAAAAATAATGGATTAGAACGGCGAGTGAAATGAGGTCTAGTTGTAGTATCCACGCGCGCCAGTTTGAAAATAAAACTCGCATTTCTGCAGTGTGACACAGCGCTGTCGCTCCACTTGCATCAATGACGACGACGCTTACTCCCGATTTCGCTTCGTTTCTAGTTTATTGTCGGGAATATCTCTGTGCTGCGCAGCACACGACGTCGCGTCGAAACAACAGTAACAAAATGCGTTATTCCAGTGCGAAAATCCGGCGACCTTGTAAACCCCGATGTAAACAAACCCGTGAGCGTTTAGACATAAACACACGTGTAACAAAGATGCCTTGTTCTCGATATATTACTCGCAATTTTTCCACGTCGATTCGCCTCAAGCGACTTTACATTCCGCCGATCCACCGCGTTGAGCAAAATTGTCATTGGCGGGCTCTCTGTTCTCCGATTTCTTCGAGTCGTTACCGCTCTTCTTCGAGTACGCGCGCGGCATCTCAACGGGCTCGACTCCTCTCGCTCGTAAGGACGAGAATGATAAAAGTTAATAAAAATGCGCGGCTAAATAAGGAAGCCGGTCGGCCGGAGTCGAGGATTATGCGGTAATTCTTCATTGAATTCTTCGACGAAGTATCGCCCGGCTGAAAAAGCAGACCGCGGTAGAAGCAAGAACGCGTTTCCCCGCGTTCTTGAGGCGACGTCTCTTCTCTCCTCTCCTCTCCTCTCTGCTCCTCTCCTCTCCTCTCCTTTGCACTGCACGGAGGAAAGACATAGAGGAGCGGTAGCCAGCCAAGCATAAAGCAGAGGCTCGAATCGAACTCCGCAGCCTTGCGTGGCGCAGAAACGACCCAGACGTATCTAAGAAGTATACAGGTGACCAACCTCTATCCCCATTATCTTGCGAAGGGCGCACAAAACTCCGGGGGCGGGAGGGGCTCGCAACAATAATTTAAGAAAGAGAAATTGGGACCATTAGGAAACGGCGAGAAACGTTTGAAACGCTCCAAAGAACGTCAGGACAAATTATCGAAAATGACTCGTGTAATAAGAATTAGACAATGCGACGGTAAAGAAATTCATCGCTCGGCACAATAGCAATTTTCTCTTCGTTATTTTGACGTTGATCGGTGGTAAAAGTCGGCTGATGGGATCGGAATGATGTTCCCACGAATCGATAACGAGTCGCAAGGATGCAAGGGAACAAGCTCGGGTCAACACCACTTGAACCGATGTCGATGACGACGATCGCGACGGATGACGCATCAGCTCGCGAATCATCTTGCGCGATGATGTTATAGCGAGTGATTTAAGCACCGCGATATCTCTCGAATTTTACGCTTCGGCACCCTCACTACCGCTCTCCTCATTTTTTAAATTTCGTTGACTTAATCCGCTTTATGTAGGTCGGAAAAGTACAATTTGCGTCGTTCCCAGTAATCTTTTAAATTCGATTTAACGCGATAAGGCGATATCAAAGAGAAGGAAGGAGAGAGAGAGAGAGAGAGGGGAAAACAGAAAGTACGCAATCGCACTAGATATGTCAGTATGCGCAAAATATATAAGAAAATAGTAGTAATAATAATACAGAAGCTGCGTCATTATTTTGCTTGTCTTTATTTTAGACATATTTATTTAAATACCAGATAACTCGCGTTATCTCAGCTTCGTTACAACTCAAGCGTTAATAATGTTTACGATCGTATTTTTATCGTAACACGATTCGACAAGATGATATGTGGAACCGTAAAGATAATCACGAGCGCAACTTATCGCGAAGGAACTTTAGCAGCATTGGATGTTCAGCAATTGAGCTATCTCTGCCGGTGCAGCGGCAGCAGTAGAAGCAATCAGGGTCGAGCGACAATGCATTCACCTCGCGCTTCGAGTACATTTTACTTCGTACATTGTCTCGCGTCGTCGCTGCCTACTCGTTAGCTTCTCGTTTTCTTCTGCTTAACAAGGATCTGTCTCGATCGGAAATGGCTTTCAACCGTCGCGAAATTAGCGCGTGGACATTGCAGCGCTGCTCGTTTCGTTCTCAACAACGCTAGTTTATAGAAGATCGGACAATTAAGACTTT